TAGGACTTCCAAAACTATGTTGAATAATAGTGATGAGAGTGGACATCCTTGTCTTTTTCCTGATCTTAGAGGAAATGCTTTCAGTTTTTCACCACTGAGAATGATGTTTGCTGTGGGTTTGTTGTATATGTCCTTTATTATGTTGAGGTAGGCTCCCTCTGTGCCCACTTTCTGGAGAGTTTTTATCATAAATGGGTGTTGAATTTTGTCAAAAGCTTTTTCTGCATCTTTTGGGGTGATCATATGGTTTTTACTTTTCAGTTTGTTAGTATGGTGTATCACACTGATTGTTTTGCCTATATTGAACAATCCTTGCATCCCTGGGATAAATCCCGCTTGATCATGGTGTATGATCCTTTTAATGTGTTGTTGGATTCTGTTTGCTGGTATTTTGTTGAGGATTGTTGCATCTGTGTTCATCAGTGATATTGGCCTGTAGTTTTCATTCTTTGTGACATCTTTGTCTGGTTTTGGTATCAGGGTGATGGTGGCCTCATAGAATGAGTTTGGGAGTGTTCCTTCCTCTGCAATTTTTTGGAAGAGTTTGAAGAGGTTGGGTGTTAGCTCTACTCTAAATGTTTGATAGAATTCATCTGTGACGGCATCTGGTCCTGGACTTTTGTTTGTTGGAAGATTTTAAATCACAGTTTCAATTTCATTACTTGTGATTGATCTGTTCATATTTTCTATTTCTTCCAGGTTCAGTCTTGGAAGGTTATACCTTTCTAAGAATTTGTCCATTTCTTCCAGGTTGTCCATTTTATTGGCATGGAGTTGCTTGTAGTAGTCTCTTAGGATGCTTTGTATTTCTGTGGTGTCTGTTCTCCTTTTCCATTTCTAATTTTATTGATTTGAGCCCTCTCCCTCTTTTTCATGATGAATCTGGATAATGGTTTATCAATTTTGTTTATCTTCTCAAAGAACCAGGTTTTAGTTTTATTGATCTTTGCTATTGATTTCTTTGTTTCTATTTCATTGATTTCTTTCCTTCTGCTAACTTTGGGTTTTGTTTGTTCTTCTTTCTCTAATTCTTTTAGTATGGTTAGATTGTTTGAGATTTTTCCTGTTTCTTGAGATAGGCTTGTATTGGTATAAACTTCCGTCTTAGAACTGCTTTTGCCACATCCCATAGGTTTTGGATCATTGTGTTTTCACTGTCATTTGTCTCTAGGTATTTTTTGATTTCCTCTCTGATTTCTTCAGTGATCTCTTGGTTATTTAGTAACATGTTATTTAGCCTCCATGTGTTTGTGTTTTTTACGTTTTTTTTCCCTGTAATTGATTTCTAATCTCATAGCGTTGTGGTCAGAAAAGATGTTTGATATGATTTCAGTTTTCTTAAATTTACTGAGGCTTGATTTGTGACCCAAAATGTGATCTATCCTGGAGAATGTTACGTGCACACTTGAGAAGAAAATGTAATCTGCTGTTTTTGGATGGAATGTCCTATAAATATCAATTAAATCTATCTGGTCTGTTGTGTCATTTGAAGTTTGTGTTTCCTTATTAATTTTCTGTTCAGATGATCTGTCCATTGGTGTAAGTGAGGTGTCAAAGTGCCCCACTATTATTGTGTTACTGTCGATTTCCTCTTTTATGGCTGTTAGCAGTTGCCTTATGTATTGAGGTGCTTCTATGTTGGGTGCATATATATTTATAATTGTTATATCTTCTTGGATTGATCCCTTGATCATTATGTAGTGTCTTTCCTTGTCTCTTGTAACATTCTTTATTTTAAAGTCTGTTTTATCTGGTATGAGTATTGCTATTCCAGCTTTCTTTTGATTTCCATTTGCATGGAATATCTTTTTCCATCCCTTCACTTTCAGTCTGTATGTGTCCCTAGGTCTGAAGTGGGTCTCTTGTAGACAGCATATATATGGGTCTTGTTTTGGTATCCATTCAGTGAGCCTGTATCTTTTGGTTGGAGCATTTAATCCATTCATGTTTAAGGTAATTATCGATATGTATGTTCCTGTTACCATTTTCTTAATTGTTATGGGTTTGTTTGTGTAGGTCCTTTTCTTCTCTTGTGTTTCTCACTTGGAGAAGTTTCCTTTAGCGTTTGTTGTATAGCTGGTTTGGTGGTGCTGAATTCTCTTAGCTTTTGCTTGTCTGTAAAGCTTTTCATTTCTCTGTCGAATCTGAATGAGATCCTTGCCAGATGGAGTACTCTTTCATCACAGTCATGCTACTCCCTTTTGGCTTGTAGAGTTTCTGCTGAGAAATCAGCTGTTAACCTTATGCGAGTTCCCTTGTATGTTATTTTTCGTTTTTCCCTTGCTGCTTTCAATAATTTTTCTTTGTCTTTAATTTTTACCAGTTTGATTGCTGTGTGTCTTGGTGTGTTTCTCCTTGGGTTTGTCCTGTATGGGACTCTGAGCTTCCTGGACTTGGGTGGCTATTTCCTTTCCCACGTTAGGGAAGTTTTCGACTATTATCTCTTCAAATATTTTCTCGGGTCCTTTCTCTCTCTCTCTCCTTCTGGGACCCCTATAATGCGAATGTTTTTGTGTTTAATGTTGTCCCAGAGGTCTCTTAGGCTGTCCTCATTTCTTTTCATTCTTGTTTCTTTTTCTGTTCCATGGCAGTGAATTCCATCATTCTGTCTTCCAGTTCACTTATCCGTTCTTCTGCCTCAGTTATTCTGCTATTGATTCCTTCTAGTGTATTTTTCATTTCAGTTACTGTATTGCTCATCTCTGTTTGTTTGTTCTTTAATTCTTCTAGACCTTTGTTAAACATTTCTTGCATCTTCTCGAACTTTGCCTCCATTCTTTTTCTGAGGTCCTGGATCATCTTCACTATCATTATTCTGAATTCTTTTTCTGGAAGGTTGCCTATCTCCACTTCATTTAGTTGTTTTTCTGGGGTTTTATCTTGTTCCTTCATCTGGTACATAGCCCTCTGCCTTTTAATCTTGTCCATCTTTCCGTGAATGTGGTTGTTGTTCCACAGGCTGCAGGACTGTAGTTCTTCTTGCTTCTGCTCTAATTATTGCATTTTAGAATAGTGAAAATTACCTATACCCTTGAAAGGAGATGTAGCATAATATAATGTGAAGAATACTGTATTTAAGTCAGAAGACCTGTGTTTAGGACTTGCCTCATCATACATTAGCTCTTTGACTTGAGAAAGCTATCTAATTTATTTGAATCTTAGTTTTGAGCTTTTAATAAAGTACCTGGCTCTCAAAACTCATAGGCTTATTTGAGGTTTTATTATGAAAGCATTTTGGAAATTCTCAAGCACAAATACAATATTATTGTTAATATTGCTATTTATTGACCAGAAATGTTTATACTTAATTAAAATGACTATTTAAGTTGTATCATTAGTTCTTTTTTTTTTTTGGCTGCACTGCACAGCTTGTGGAGTTTTAGTTCCCCAATCAGGGATCAAACCCAGGCCCTTGGCAGTGAGAGCACAGAGTCCTAACCACTGGACTGCCAGGGAATTCCCTGTATCATTAGTTTTAAGATGAATTCGTAGCGGGGACTTCCCTGGTGGCGCAGTGGTTAAGAATCTGCCTGCCAATGCAGGAGACACGAGTTTGAGCCCTGGTCTGGGAAGATCCCACATGTCGCGGAGCAACTAAGCCCGTGTGCCACAACTACTGAGCCTGCGCTCTAGAACCCATGAGCCACAACTACTGAGCCCATGTGCCACAACTACTAAAGCCCACACACCTAGAGCCTGTGCTCCACAACAAGAAAAGCCACTGCGATGAGAAGCACGTGCACACAGCAAAGAGTAGCCCCTACTCGCCGCAACTTGAGAAAACCTGCGTGGAGCAATGAAAAACCAATGCAGCCAAAAATTAATTAATTAATTGATTAAGAAAAAAGATCAATTGGTAGAGAAGTTATAGTGACAGTTGAATAAATATAAACCTCTGCTTATAGCAATCTTTGTAGTAGAACATATGATTTTTCATCGTTAGTGCTCTACAGTGAAACTTATTTAGTGCTCTAAACTTATTTCATTGCTTTTACTGTTCTTGTCTTTATCCTTTGGTTTTTTGGTTCTTAGGTCTGTTGGGAGAACGTTTTGCACAATGGATGGGCGTGGAAGCCCAGTTCACATTCATCCTTCCTCAGCAGTAAGTACCTTGTTTTTAATAAAAGGAAGAAATTTCCTTTTGTAAAGGAAGGTGTAGGAATTTCTTCCTTTTGTAAAAGTATAGGAATAAATAACATACAGACGTCTTCTACTTTTCTCTTTCAAGGATAAGTTTAGCATATATCTATATTACATAAAGTATTGGTTGGCCTATGCCTCCTGTTTTGAAGATTGAAGAAAATAGAAATTAATTGAAGAAGAGTTTGGGCTGTTGGTATTTGGTTGGTCTAATGTGCAATAAGGCAGGTTATTGAATTATCATCCTTAAATGAATTCTTTTGTGTAGCTTCATGAACAGGAAACCAAACTTGAATGGATCATTTTCCACGAGGTATTAGTTACCACCAAAGTCTACGCAAGAATTGTGTGTCCAATCCGTTATGAATGGGTGAGAGACTTGTTACCCAAGTTGCATGAATTTAATGCACATGATTTGAGCAGTGTGGCCCGACGTGAAATGAGAGAAGATGCAAGAAGGAGGTGGACCAATAAGGAAAATGTAAAGCATCTAAAGGGTGAGTGAATCGCTTGTTCTAGAGCATAAGTGTCCAAATTCTCATGTAATTACAGAAAAACTGTTACAGAGCTTAGATTCTGGCTCTGTCTCCTCAGAAAAGCAAAGAGTTGTCATGAGTCTCAGACTTACTTTGACTTCCTTCTTTCCTTCCAGTTAATCATGTTTTCCTTAACCCCTCTGTTCAACAACATTATTATTATTATTATTTTAATAATTATTATTATTATTTTTTGCATTTCTCGGGCCTCTCACTTGTTGTGGCCTCTCCCGTTGCAGAGCACAGGCTCCGGACGCGCAGGCCCAGCAGCCATGGCTCACGAGCCTAGCCGCTCCACGGCATGTGGGATCTTCCTGGACCGGGGCACGAACCCGTGTCCCCTGCATTGGCAGGTGGACTCTCAACCACTGCGCCATCAGGGAAGCCCCAACAACATTATTAATAACAGTATCTATTGAACTTTTTTGCCACATGCTAACAACTTGCATTACCCCATTAAATAGTTACAATAACTCTGTGAAGTAACTGCATATCCCTACTTTATAGATGAGGAAATACTTAGCAGTATACAATAATTTGCTGAAAATCCCAAAGCTAATATTTGGTGAATCTGGATTTTGAATCCAAGGAATTTGACTCTGTGGCCTCTACTCTTAACTATTATGCCATATTGCTTCCCAGTAGTGCTTTACTATTTTTATTTTGTTTATAAAATTTTGTGAATTATTACTGCAGAACATCCTTTTTTTTTTCAGGAGATTTTTCCTTGAAATGTTACGTCCCTAGTTGTGAGGCATAAACTGTTGTGGTACTGAACTAGGACAGAAAGCTTAATTCTCAGCTCACAAATAAAAAGAGCTTTTCAGTAAAGCTTTTTGAGGCTGATTGATGGAGCAAATTGTATTATCCTTATTTAACATCACTGAGAAATAGAATGGTGGGGAATTTTGCCCAAGGTCATTGGAAATGTTAACTACTCTGTTTTGTTGTAGTGTATAACCACACTACATGTTTGACTTAGGGTCAATTTTTCTGACTCCTCAGACCTCTATGCTCTTATTTTATTTATTTATTTATTTATTTATTCATTCATTCATTCATTTGGCTGCGCCAGGTCTTAGTTGTGGCACGCAGGATCTTTTTAGTTGCAGCATGTGGGATCTAGTTCCCTGACCAGGGATCGAACCCTGGCCCCCTGCACTGGGTGTGCAGAGTCTTAGCCACTGGACCACTTGGGAAGTCCTTTTATGCTCTTATTTTTATCCATCAATTATATCATTTCTTTTGAAAGGGCAAAATTTAATTTCCTTCTTTTCCCCTTAACATTAGAAAATCAGAGCATCTCTTTCTCTTAACATTTCTAATACTGAAACTCAAAACTAAAATTTTATTGGATTAATTTGTAATGTTTTCAGATGGAATACCAAAAGAAGTCCTAAAGAAAATGCAAAGAAGAAATGATGATAAATCCATATCAGACGCACGTGCTCGTTTCCTTGAGAGAAAGCAGCAGAGGTCCCAGGATCACAGTGACACCCTGAAGGAAACAGGCTAAGCAGTGAACCCTCCAATTCAGGAAGTAGGAAAAGCAGCCAGAAAATGTGCTTCTGCTTTGCCATTTATGTCAGACAGCACTACCAAGAGGAAGTGGTCAGCAGCTGTTTTTAGCATACGAGTTAAAAGCAAATCAAAGCTCATCAGTACCAATAAATGGAATTTTCAAAGAAAAGATTGAGCTGCCATAGTCATAGGAAATAATATATGAAACCAATGAAAGACAATATATGTGATATTTTCCTCACTTCAATTTTGCTGGCCTTAACTGGTATCAAATGCTGTCAGTGAGATATTTTCAAAGAACATTGAATTGTATTTAATCAGCGTGTATTCCATTTGCATTGAAGCATTAAAAATTATTTTCCTTAAATCTCTTTAAGGCCTTCTTGTTGCTATTAGAATAGTATTATATCAGGTTATCAGGTATGTGACCATTTCCTTCTGAAGGCTGAACATAAAAGAGGTTTTTACTGAGCAATACTTAGATGTCTAACCGTTTAATTGCTACAGAGCTTTATAGATACTTAGAGAAAAGACTTAATCAATTAGTAAATAAGAAAATTGCCTATGGCAAGATTCTTTGTTGAATTAATATTAATCCTTAAGTTGATTTTTCTGGGATTATACAAATTCCTTTTTATATAAAAGTATATTGTTTAAAACAGTAGCTATAGCCATTAACCAAAGGACAGATGATATATATATGTTCTTTTTTTAGCTGTCCCTACATACTTGTATCAGCACCATGTATGTAGGTGTGACAGTGTTTCAAACAGCCCTTCCACCTGGCCTACTCTCTTGCCTCCAGCTGCTTGGGTAGGACCATTTAAACATCTATTACGCCGATCTTGAAATGGGATTTTCAAAGCAGCCAACACTGCATCACCAGTGTTTCAAATTGGAACCTTGAGGCTAGTTAGTATCACACTCAGGCCACACTCAGCACTTGTCCACTCTGTTGTTTACTGCCTTGTATTCTAGTTATTTGTGTATTTGTCTGTCTCCCCCACTAGATTATACGCTCCTTGTGGGCAGGGACTATGTCTTTTTCATCTTTGTATCTTTCATGGGACCTAGCACAGTGCTTTGCACATAGTAGTCAATGTTTGTTAAATAAAGCTATTAGTGTCGTTCAAATTCAAAAGGCAGTATAATGTGTGTTTTTAGATATTTTCTGTAAAATTTAAGAATTTAAAATTTTAATAACTCACTCTTTCGCAGTTACTTCCTTTGGCATCTAAACAATTTTCTGTTCAATATTAGAAACTTGAAGTCTTTATTGAAAAATCACATGAGGACCCAAATCCATGTTTGTTCTTGAAGTAAGGTGAGTGGTGATGGTTTCTTGGAACATTCCTAGCATTGTTAATTTGTTCTTCTAACCTTCAGTGCTCAAGACACTGTTTCAGCACATTAGTCCTATCAGTTTCTCTTCCCAGGTATGTATCAGTGCATTTCCTTAGACGTGGTGGGGGTGTATGTGGATTCTTGGAATTACAGCTCTTTTATTTCAGTAAGTTTTTATTAAGCATACATTCTAAATCTATAGTCTGTATCTATAATTTCATCAGTTTTCCCAATCATGTCCTTTATAGCATTTTCCCCCAGTTCAGGATCCAGTCAAGAATCGTGTATTGTATTTAATCTCCTTTAATCTAGAAAAGGTCTTCTGTCTTTGTCTTTCACATTTAACATTTTTTAAAATTGAAGTGTAGGGAATTTGGGATTAACAGACACACACTACTATATATAAAGTAGGTAAACAATAAGGACCTGCTGTATAGCACAGGGAACTATATGCAGTATCTTATAATAACCTATAATGGAAAAGAATATATATGTATGTATATATAGTTGAATTACTTTGCTGTACACCTGAAACATTGTAAATCAACTATACTTCAATTAAAAAATAATTTAAAAAATAAACTGGAGTAAATTGACCTACAACACTGTGTTATTTCCAGGTGCACAACACAGTGATTTGATATTTCTATACATTGCCAAATGATCATCACAATAAGTCTAGTTACCATCTGTCACCATACATAGATATTACAGTATTATTGACTGTATTCCGCATGGTGTACATTTCATCCCAATGACTCATTTATTTTGTACCTCTGAAGGTACAGACCTGAAGAGTGTACCTCTTGGTCTCCCTCACCTATTTCACTCATCCCCCTACTCCTCCCTCTCCTCTGGCAGCCATCTGTTTGTTCTCTGTATCTATGACTCTTTCTGTTTTATGTTTGTTCATTTGTTTTATTTTTCAGATTCCACATATAAGTAAAATCATACGGTATTTGTCGTTCTCTGACTTATTTCACTTAGCATAATACCCTCTAGGTCCATTCATGTTGTTGCAAATGGAAAGGTTTCTTTCTTTTTTTTTTTTATGGCTAATACTCCATTGTAAATATATATACCACATCTTCTTAATCCATTCATCCATCAATAGATACTTAGGTTGCTTCCATATCTTGGCTATTATAAACAATGCTGCAATGAACATAAGGTTGCATATAGTTTTTCAAATTAGTGTTTTCTTCAGAAAAATACCCAGAAGTGGAATTGCTAGGTGTATGGCAGTTCTATTTTTAATTTATTGAGGAACCTCCATACTGTTTTCCATAGTGGCTGTACCAACTTACATTCCCACCAACAGTGTACAAGGGTTCCCTTTTCTCCATGTCCTTGCCTACATGTATTTTTTGTCTTTCACATTTAACATTTGAATAACAGTTTTGACATTTTTTAATAATACAGGTTAGTTATTTTATAGTATATCCTCAATTTGGATTTCTCTAATGTTTCCTCATGGTTTTGCATTTGTGACTGGAATACTGCGTTAAGTGATACAGTGTCTTTCCCAAGGCATCAAATCTGGAGGTACATGGTATTTGCCCCTTATTGCTGATATTAATTTTGATTAATTGGTTAGGGTGTTTTTGATTTCTTCAGTCTAGTTACTCTCTTTTTTATTATTATTAATTAATTTATTTATTTTTGGCTGCGTTGGGTCTTTGTTGCTGCACTCAGGCCCTCTCTAGTTGTGGTGAGTGGGGGGGGCACTCATCGTTGCAATGCACAGGCCTCTCATTGTGGTGGCTTCTCTTGTTGTGGAGCACGGGCTCTAGGTGCATGGGCTTCAGCAGTTGTGGCACGCGGGCTCAGTAGTTGTGGCACACAGGCTTAGTTGCTCCATGGCATGTGGGATCTTCCTGGACCAGGCCTCGAACCTGTGTCCCCTGCATTGGCGAGCGGATTCTTAACCACTGTGTCACCAGGGAAGTCCCAAGTCTAGTTACTCTTATAATTAATAAGTAATTTGTGGGAGGGATACTTTGAGATTATGTGAAATAGCCTGTTCCTTATAAATTATTACCCTCTGTTTTTATCATCAACTGATGATTCTTGCCTGAATCAGTTTATTCTTATGGTTGCAAAATGGTGCTTTTTTTTTTTTTCCTATACAGGTGATCCTTGAACAACATGGGTTTGAACTGCGTGGGTCCAGTTATACGTTTTTTATTTTTTTCAATGAATATGTAGTATAGTATTGTACTACATGATCTGTGGTTGATTGAATCTGAGGATGCAAAACCATTGATATGGAGGTCTGACTGTAAAGTTATAGGAGGATTTTCGAATACTGGGAGGGTGGGCACCCCTAAACACCGAGTTGTTGAAGGGTCAACTGTATTTATTTGTTGACATTATATTGTAAGGAAGAGCTTTCCTCGAAGAAGAATTTCCAATAAACACTTGGTTGCTAGGAACAGCATAAATCAAGACAGAGAATTAGAAAGCCCAGGGGGTATTTGAGAGGGGTGGCAAACAGTCTAGTTTATTTGGTGCATTGAGCATAAATAGAATAATAGGTTGAAAATATTGGTTGAGGACAGATTATGGAAGGCTTTGAAAGCCAAACTATGGAATTTGGACTTACTTTGTACTATATATGAATTTGTTGGAGGGGAATGCCATCATTACATCTTTAAGGTAATTGTGACAATGGTATTTTTTTGTTTTTTTAATTTATTTTATTTACTTATTTTTGGCTGTGGTGGGTCTTCGCTGCTGCGCGCGGGCTTTCTCTAGTTGCGGCGAGCGGGGGCTACTCTTCGTTGCAGTGTGCGGGCTTCTCATTGCGGTGGCTTCTCATTGCGGAGCACGGGCTCTAGGCACATGGGCTTCAGTAGTTGCAGCATGTGGGCTCAGTAGTTGTGGCTCATGGGCTCTAGAGCACAGGCTTAGTAGTTGTGGCACACGGGCACACGGGCTCAGCAGTTGTGGCTCACGGGCTCTAGAGCACAGGCTCAGTAGTTGTGGCGCATGGGCTTAGTTGCTCCACGGCATGTGGGATCTTCCCGGACCAGGGATCGAACCTGTGTCCCCTGCATTGGCAGGCGGATTCTCAACCACTGCGCTACCAGGGAAGCCCTGTGACAATGGTGTTGATAAGAAGAATTGATTTCTACTGAGAGGGCTGTGAGAAAAGTAGTATGGGAGGAATACTGGATCCAGTTAAGAAGGAGAAGGAGTCTTGGAGGAAAAGGTAGTGATTATGGAAAAGTCTGTTCTTAAAAGAATGATTCACCTTTAAATTACTAAATGAAACAAAAAGAAACAAATGAAGATGAATGTTATCACAGAAAAATGGTCAAAAGACATGGTCGGTCATTTTATAAAAGGAAACATTGAATGGTCAATAAATAAAATACTGAATCTTACTAGTAATTCGGGTAATGCAGTTGAAAATAAGTGAGATGCCATTCTTTTCCATCAGATTGGCAACAATTAATATATGCCTAAAAAGTGTTGTCATAGGATAAATTGCTTTTATTTTAGAGAACATTTTGGCAATATCTAGTAAAAGTGAAGATGTGCACAACCTATGACCCAGCAAGCCCAACTTTAAATTTATATCCTAGGAACTCTGAGAGTATATAAAATACTCTGTTTCTAGTAAAATTTGACTCCTATAGATTTAGAATCAGTTTGATGATTTATGTTACATACAGCATTTATAAAAATGTTATACTTCATTGTTTCTAGCAGTAAAAAATTGAAAATTATATACGTAGCTATCAATAGGGAAATGAAACTGTGATATGTTCTTATGGTCGAATTCTTTACATCAGTGAAAGCGATTTTTGAGACTCCTGTTGCCTACTCTGCAGAACACATGAACCACTTTACATTCCTAACAGCAATGTTGTAAAGTACCTGTCTTACTGTACTGTACTGTCTTACCTGTCTTGTGGTCCCTCAAAAATGTTTTCGTAATTATAGACAAAAAAGTGCCTCATTATTATGTTAATTTACATATTTAGATATTCAGCTCTTTTTCCTTAAATTGTCTACAAGAAATGAAATTAATGAAATTAACTGATTTGAATTTGATAGGTCCAGATAGTAAGTATTTTAGACTTTCGAGGCATACAGTCTCTGTTGTAGCTACTGTGCTGTTGTAGTATAAAAGTAGCCATAGACAGTACATAAACAAATGGATATGGCTGTGTTCCAATAAAACTTTATGGACAATGAAATTTGAATTTCATATAATTTTCACATGTCAGGAAATATTCTTTTTTTTTTTTTGCGGTACGCGGGCCTCTCTCACTGCTGTGGCCTCTACCATTGCGGAGCACAGGCTCCGGACGCGCAGGCTCAGCGGCCATGGCTCACGGGCCCAGCCACTCCGCGGCATGTGGGATCTTCCCGGACCGGGGCACGAACCCGTGTCCCCTGCATCGGCAGGCGGACTCTCAACCACTGCGCCACCAGGGGAGCCCCAGGAAATATATATATATATTTTTTCCCAGGAAATATTTTTTTGATTTTATTTTTCACCACTTGCACTTTATTCCAGAAAAGCTACTTTTCACGAACCCATTCTAATTCAAATTATTTCAATTGAAAGAAAAGATCTTAATTTCATGAAATACTGAATTTTTTTGGTTTTTACTTTTTCTTTTATTTATTTTGATTTATTTATTTATGCCTGCATGCATGCCACGCCACGAAGCTTGTGGGATCTTAGTTTCCTGACCAGGGATCGAACCCGGGGTACAGGAGCGAAAGCACCGAGTCCTAACCACCGTACCGCCAGGGAATTCCCAACTTTTTCTTTTCTTTATAGCAGAGCTGATAGGATTGAACATGTCAGGAATCAAAAAATTTAATTTGTAATCTGTATTCTCGCAAAGATTTTCAAAGTAACCTGTATTACTTGTTCGCTGCTCCTTTAACCTGAAAATATGAATAATATAAAACTCTTGTGGGGACTTCCCTGGTGGCACAGTGGTTAAGAATCTGCCTGCCAATGCAGGGGACATGGGTTTGAGCCCTGGTCCGGGAAGATCCCACACGCCGTGGATCAACTAAGCCCATGCGCCACAACTACTGCAGCCCGTGTGCCTAGAGCCTATGCTCCTCAACAAAGAGAAGCCACTGCAATGAAAAGCCTGCACACCTCAACAAAGAGTGGCCCCTGCTCGCCGCAACTAGAGAAAGCCCGTGCACAGCAACGAAGACCCAACTCAGCCAAAAAATAAATTTATATAAAAAAATAACTTGTGAAGCTATTGAAGATTTTTCAAAGAGAAGAATCATATTATTTGTCCAGATAAAATCTAACATGTGTTTCTCAACCTAATATTACTTGGTTCTCAGCTAAATCATAAGAAATAAGATGGGATAACCCCAAATACAGCCTAGCACAATTTGGTGCTTTTTGTATATGGTTGGCATTTATAAATGATTGTTGTGCTAACTCCAGGTGTGATTATTAACAACATAAGTTGGCCTGGGCTTCAAATTAAATAGGTAGTATAGTTGATAAATGCTATAATAGCTTAAGAAGTAGGGTAAATAGATTTTAAGGTGAGTTTTTAAGTAAGGGTAGGACTTGGACTAGAATGAAAAAGGAGACAGAATTTGTGTGGTTGGAGAGAGGAATAAGAGATAAACAGTGGAAAGATTATCAGTGTCACCTTGAGAAGGGCTTTTAAAAAATGAAGGGTTTTGAGGTTTCCAATTCTGTAACTAGGGTTAACACTAAATAGGTCATATGAAGCATAATTTGAGTGCCACTCATTCTTGCAGATAGAAAAATTTGAAAGTCAGCTTGGACTGGGGATTTCTTTTTACATTGTGCAGCACTTATAGACTGCCATTGTGTGCTAGTTTGCTACTCCATCTAGTTCCCATTCAAGAAATAGTATTTTTAAGGCCTCTGCAGTAATGAAGAGTATAATCTTATCTCTATATCTGATCTGATGGCTTAGCTTGATAGACCCAAAATACGGAGACAATAAAGGACTGTCTTTATCAGGTTAGTTCTCACCCTGTGGAAAGCTTTATATTTGAGTGACCAACTTTATAAAGTGGCATAACCTAGAGACCTTTTCATGCCTTTTGGTGCTAATAGGGCTGGCTTAGAAAAGAAAAATAAAATTTAAATCAGTAAATATGTAGGAAAAAAATAAGGTCGGTGTATTTTTCATTACTGGAGTGTCATGGAATGAACAGTAATTATATGGTTGTATACTGTACAACATTAAACTCACAGTTGGGGCTTCCCTGGTGGCGCAGTGGTTGAGAATCTGCCTGCCAAATGCAGGGGACACGGATTCGCGCCCTGGTCTGGGAAGATCCCACATGCCACAGAGCAACTGGGCCCGTGAGCCACAATTACTGAGCCTGCGCGTCTGGAGCGTGTGCTCCGCAACAAGAGAGGCCGCGATAGTGAGAGGCCCGCGCACCGCGATGAAGAGTGACCCCCGCTTGCCACAACTAGAGAAAGCCCTTGCACGGAAACAAAGACCCAACACAGCCATAAATAAATAAATTAATTAAAAAAAAAAACAAAAAACTCACAGTTATTTGGAATATGAGCAACAAGGAAAAGGAAGTAAACAGGCTTTGGGTTTGTTTTACATAATGCACTTTTATCAGCCATGACACACTGAGGTATAAGGCATTTAAAAAACAGTAATTTCTCGTGTGTCCTATATTTGGTACATATTGAGATCAGGCTAAATATACACTAGCAAGAGTAGTATACCAAAACTTCACAGTGATTAACCTGAGGCCTTTAAGATTCAGAATTTATTTCCCCATATAAAAATATTTTTTAAAGCCTTTCAAAAGATTTTAACATTTAAGTATTTAACTTTTCATTGTTATGTACTGAAGTGTTTGTTGACCGAGGAAATTATATTTCCTTGACTTTGCTATTATTGAGTTAACGAAAACTTTGTTTACCAAATCTCAGTCCTTAATATTCTCTTCTGCATTACAAGGCTGCATAGGTGCACTGCTACTTGTAGAACTATCTGTCCTTGGAGTGTGACAGAATTTTAAGATTGCTGACAGAACATGTTTGTGGGTTCTACTCTGCTTTGGAGACAGTAATAACTCCAGGAGGTAAAAAGAGACAGTTCTACATATTTAGAAAGGAGGGGGGAAATAGCCCAAAACAATCATTCCCACATCCTGGCCCTCATGGCCCTTTCATTCTGTAGATCCTCTCAAGCTTCTTTTACCTTTTGTTTTTCCATTTGAAAGGGATGTTGTGACTAGCATCTGTTGATCAGTAGTGTTATAACTCTTCTGGTTTTTCTTTGCCCAAAGCTCTGTGTATCACTATATTTGAACCAACTTTTCTGAAATGACTTTTTAAGGTAATGTTATGAGCTATTTCATTCCTCTGCTGGGATCTGATTTAACCTTTAGAAAACATGGGAGGGGCCTATATAATATGCTAGATTCCAGATTGTATTTCCACAGGGCTAGTCTTGACTGTTCACTTGGAACATGCTTGATCCTGACACAGAATAGATTCACTACAGATCTTATTGCTGTCCACGACACATTATAAAACTTGTGTATATAAATTAGGTTTAGCACAAGCCTGAGCAGTGAGTGATAATTGAGTTTAAGTTAAGGTCCATTTCATACTAATATAAGACCGTGAAAATTTTCTTCTTGCTTTGTAAATGTTCTTTTTGGGTGAGCTTTGCCTATAATCAGTGCCTTGTACAGGACCAAAATAAAGTGGTTATTTATGTTGACTGATACCTGAGCCACTTATTGGCCTTTGATAGGGTCTTTATCTAATCCTGCTGGGATTCATATCAGTGGCCCTAGGGGGCTGAGATGTTTCTCAAAGCTGCCATTTAAATGGCAAAACCACTCATCTTATTTAGGTAATGCTAAAGTATATCCCTCTTGGTTTCATTAAAATCTGAACTTTAAATATTTGGTACAGTGGGTTGGGTTTAAACTTCTGCTTTAAAATTAATCTCTTAATGTTTGAGAAACGCCTTTACTTTGTGGCTTTTGCAATGCAGCTAGTTCACGCTGTTTTTAAAAGGTCAAGTTAAAAGGCAGGGGCCTTAAATCCAGGGTTGCTTGAAGATGAAAAACTACAGAGGAATCCTACAATGAAAAGTTTTTCTGATGTGTCATTCCCATTGGAGGATATATATATATGTACATATATGTAAAACAGGTCCTGGCATAAAATATAAAATTAGGGACACAATAAAGTTTTCTTGTATAGGTTTTGAGAAACTGGCATTCCTCAAAATAGCAGATGAGCAATGCAGTTTTTGCTAATGGCACTTGCTGTGACTCAGAGCAAGGACCTACTATTGAATATTCTGCTAAAAATACCTTCAAATTCAAAGAATTTGACGATTTATTTTATTAACATGGCTACTTTACTAAAACATTTTCTGAAACCAAAAGCCATGATGATAATACATTTATAGCCTTATTAAAAGACTTTGTCATAGTTGGATAACCTAATAAACCAGAAAACTTTTTTTTTTTCTACCTTCTCTAACTTAAGGTAGTGCCTGAAAACAAAGGCATTCAGTTACTGTTCAGGTAACCGTTAACACTGATTCAGCCTTCTGGGCTTCTAAACCAAGTATTGACAACCTTTTGTCCTGCTTCTACACCTTTAGCAAAAACTGTGCTACCATAAAAAGCTCTCTCATTACCTCAGCCAAAATCATTAATCTTTAAAAGGCATCGGTTTGGGTTTTGGGTTGGTTGTTTTTTTTTTAACGTTTATCATCTAGTACATTTTTTTCTCTTTAAAATTTTTGGATTTATTGATTTGAAGGAAAGTGTTCAAAATGAGCTGGTATACTGTAATCTATTTTTCTTCTCTCTAAATGATTCTGAAAACAACGCATACATTAGATTTCTGTGTGATGACACAGCAGTCACTCTCAGTGCAGTTCTGGTTAGATATTCCACACCAAATATCCAAGCTAAAATCAATTGCTTTGGGGATTCTCAACGTCTTTAAAATTACAGGTCTGTCTGAAAATGCAAGACAGTTATTAAGAAAGAAAATTTTGGTGGCCAGTTCATAATATAGCTCTTGTAACCCAGATTCTGAGATTGGAAATGTAACTTGATTAAGCTACTGCTATAACTGTAATAAAACAGTAACTCCTTTATATTTTTAATTTAGAATTTGTATACTTCCAAAAAAGATTCAAAGTAGCTATACTATTAAAGTGGTATTAGAAAGGTCATTTCGAATGTTGCAGAATACAGAACATCTTTAAGTATTTGGCTTAACAAAACATAATGAAATTTTGCCAAGCATAAATATTCACTCTGATGACATGGTGGCAAGGCTTTTCTTTGCCCAACAGTCTCTGTCTGCTCTCTTAACTGCCAAAGATTCTCTCACCCTCAGTATGTGAGGTATACTTTGGGAAAAACATTAAAAGCAATTTAAATGATTAAGCAAATTCTCAGCAAAACTGCTTAACACACAAAATTATTGTATACCTAATAGAGTTTTCTGTTTAACTGAAAAGGTTACTAAAAATAATGTGTACTTGAATTCTTCCTCAGGATCTTTCTGGAACAGCAATCACATCTCTTTAAGATGAAAAGCACGGAACGAAATTCTTTTATGCTTTATTGTATTTGTGCTATTATGAAATATTATTACAGCTTATACTTGAGCAATAAAGTACTGGTAAGATTATTAATCGATAATGGATACCGTAGATACCTTAATGCTGTTAGAAGACACGATGCCCCCAGCTTTGAAGCGTTTGCATTCCCAAACACTGCTAGTTTACACTGTTGAGGAGGTCCCACTGAAATACAGCGCTAATAGTTAATCCCTTTCTCCAAGAGTGTACCTTAGCCACACCGAGGAAAAACATTAAGGTTTTACAAACCACCTTTAACCTAATTATCTAAATCTTTGAGGCTCATTAATTATTTGATATGGCTGGGAAAAAAATCCTGCTATAATTTTAGTCCAATTCTTTAGCGTATTTATGACACTCAAATTCTTCATCAAATTTATTACTCAGCTACACCCATATATATATACATCCGCCAAAATGTCCGCAGAAACGTTAAGAAAGGCTATCACAAGGCCAGTTTGAGATCCCTCATAAATGGCCTTCACTGCCCTGAGTCAATTGTTTAACGTCCCAAGAGACTACTAGTTCTGTTAGAACCTAAGCGTCAGCTTCTCCAACCCTCAGAAGGGCGTGCGTAAGGACAGATAGGATTTTTAAACCCCATTTCAGTGTTTCAGTGCCCCCCTCCCTGGGATATAACAAACCACCCACCACATGAGACTAGGCGGGGGAGGAGCGCTGCAGCCGGCTGCCAAGAGCGCTCTGCAGGGGGGCCGTTTCCCTGAGTCACGGAGAGGGCGGGAGGCTGGGCCCATCTGCCCACGCCACGTCCCCTTCGTAAGGGACTACGTTTAAATACGCAGGGCCCACTGGGAAAAGGAGCAGCACCGCCATTCCTCAAGGCGGCCCAACAGCCACCTCATTCCCAGGAGACGCCGCACTTCCCTAGAACTCGCTCTGCATTCCGGCAGCAATCAGCAGACCTTTCCTGACCAGCATCACGTGCACCCGGAAGTACGTGGGTGAGACCCAAAGCGCCCACGGAAATGACGTTGGTCGCCCCTAGTCGCATGATGTGGCAAAATGCGAAAAAAAAAAAAGGGGGGGGAGGGAAAAGCAGGCGGCTGGGGAAAGTGATGAGACAAAAAATAGTCCCTCCGATTCCTCTATTTATCTCCCTGTCGCAGCAGTAAGCAAGGTCCTCAGCGCCCTGCGCCCCACGCTCCGAATTCCTGCGCTCCGATGCATCGCGGCGCTCCGTGGAGGAGTACATAAGGCGGAGGGCGTGAGGTGACCTGGGCGGAGTTCTGTCGCCAGGATCCTTCCGCAGGGCTAAACCGTTTCCGGAGTCTGCGCTGCGCCCGGTTCCGCCATTGCGGCTCTCGCGGACCCTGGAGCCTCCGCCCCCGACCTGAGCTCTTTCGTCTGGCTGCCAGTTTCCTGCGTCCCCGGAGACTCTCCTGCTGAGCCCAGCCTCCCCCCTCCCCCTTCTCCTCCTCTCCCTTGGAGAGCCCGGGCAGCCACTGCCCCACAGCCCCAGTGACAGGAGGAGACCATACACCCCCGACAGCGCCATGGCCCAGATTCTGCCAATTCGTTTTCAGGAGCATCTTCAGGTGCGGTGGGCCCGAGCTAGTGAGGGCTGTGGAGAGAGGGAGGTAGGAAGGAAGAAGCTGGAGTCTGAGCCCAAGCAAAAAGAGGAGAACCGGGGGGGGAGGGGGGATGGTGGTGGTGGTATCGGTTCCTGGGGTAGATGGAGGATGGGGCACTATCTTGGAAAGCTTGAAGGGTTAAATGATGTGGGGTTTGGGTGGAAAGGAAGCGAGTCGGGGTGCATAGGGCAGTGAGGCCATACCTGGGTTTGAAGGCCTCTCTATCTTCGCTTCCTGGATGGCAAGAACTGCGTATAATAACCCTTCCACCCCGGTTTTATTCAGTTCATTCATTTGGGTACGTTGCGGGGCGTGGGGGGGGGCGTTCTCCCGCGTTTCTTCCGGAGCAAGAATTCTCTTCCCCTAGGGCAGCGCAGGCTGTCACCTCCCATTGCCCTCTTCCCTTTCCCCCATCGTGTCTGCACCCGGGAGTTGTGGCGCGGGTGGGTTGGGGAGAGGCAATCTTTTTTCTTCCTCCCTCTGCGGCTCTCAACGGGAAAGGCACCTTCCCCGGGCATGCGGAGAACGGCAGTGGCTCCTCTCTTGCCTTCCCCGAGGCAGTAGGAACTGGGAAGCTCACTGAAGGAAAAAAAAGAGGATAGAATGGGGGAACGTATTTCTCAGGGCGGTGTCAATTTCAGAGTGCGTGGGGTCAAGGTTCCTAAGGGGATTCGCCTTTTTTCACTTTCTTGACGTCTCTGGGAATGGTGCGGCTTTTATCCCCTCTTCGGCTCTAGAAGGGAGAAAAGAGTTGTTCAGAGGTTGTCTTTGGAGCAGCTAGTTGGCTTGGCGTGAGCACTTTCCTCAGGATTGCATGGAATTGAACGACTCCTGGGGATAGAGCACACCTGCCCTGAGATATGCAAGGTTATTTGGTCTGTAATTGGTTTCCTTTAGTAGGTTCTAGAGTTCTTCCCCATGGTGCATTATCCTGTAGGCAACAGACTGTCTTATCTGGCAGCTTGCCCGTAGCGGGCCCAGGCAGGTGATCATTGGAGGACTTGACTGAATTAAGTCTCTTCTAAGCTTCTGATTTTCCTGGTTCACCAATCCTGGTGTTACTTTGGCTGAAATAATTTATTAATAAAGTATGCTTTCTTTCTAATTACCTCCTTAAAGAGGTCTGTCTCAGCTCAGTCATTTGAAGGACTAATTCGTAATGACAAGAGATGCCAGTGGTTTGACATGACACTAATACTAGTGGCCTCTTGGACACTTTACCATTGAAGGCTGTTTACTTTCTGCCATTGTTATAACAATAAATAAATGTTAATTAAAAGGTTTAATATTCTGGCTATCAACATGATTTCATTTTTTTTACAGGTATCACCTTTGCTTGCATCAGCAAGGCTTCTTTGTCTTGAAATGTAATGAATTATAAATCTTTACTCAAAAAATGAGTTAAGTAATGTACTTTATTCAGTCATTTTTGGTTTTCAGATAACTCATCTGATGTAATAGAACACTATTTTACAAAAGGTTAAAAAACATTGTGACAGAATGGACACAGAAGTTTTTGTTTACGCTCCATCCAAATTTGTATTGCTGTGGTTACTTCTCTTGAATGCGGAGTGTTAGGAAAATAATGTTTTTGAGTGTGAGGGGAAAACACAACCTTGTCCTGACACTAAAGTGCTTCTGGAATATAATCTTCCTGCAGACAAAAGTGTGTAAAATCATACACAAGAAAAGCAGTTATAGTTGCTGTTTACTTTACAAAACAGATATAGCCCACTAGTAAATCTTGTTTCTTGACTGGTGGTGGTTTGAGCAATAGTTTTGCATTTCTATTAATGAGGAGACAAGGTTGTTGAATAATCCCAAAGACTGGACTCCAACCATGTCACTGATTGAAGACAGATTTAATATGGGTCTGATTTCTAAGTGGTTCAGAGTTTTTGCAGACACTTGAGTGAAGCCATTTCCTTCTCAAATGCTTGAAGAGTTGCGTATAAAGTTGCTTTGCAAATAAACTTGAAGAATCCAGTCATGCAGTTTTTGGAGTAGTATATATGCCATGACTAAGTTTAAGCTTGCTTTGGTGACTGTGTACTCAAGCTGATAATGATTAATTATTGTGCAGAGCCCCAGTCACCAACCTCTTCCAGGATAATATAATTCCTGACTTTTCATTTTTATCCCTTGCTGTATAAAAATTAATAAGGATTATTTTAATTGGCAACTTAGGTCTTTGACCTCTCAGCCCCTGCCAGTTTGCTAAGTAGCAGAAAACTTTCTGAAACACTTAGGATAAAAATTGGGAACAAGAATTGAGGAACTTGCGTGTAGAGTTAACCTGTGAAATCTTCAAAGCGTGAACTGTAAATAAATTTATTTTTATACCATGGAACTACTTTGGCCAACTGAAGGGTCTGTCATCAAGGACTCAGAACTACGTCAAATGAAGCTTAATATTTTAAGTTATAAAGGAGTTTTTATTTCTTTTTTAGGATGTTGAGGCTGATAGCAGTGAACAGATGAGTGCCTATCTGAGCAAGATTTTGCTAGGATTGCAGGTTCTGAAAAAAATCCTAGGCTACCTATAGTGTTGCCTGCAACTCTGATTTCTTGGCTTATTAAGTATCTTTATGCCAATTGACATATTCTGCTGTATTCCCGGGTTCTTTGGGTCTGAAATTAAAAATCTCCCAACCCTGCTCTTTTCCCTTTGATCCATAAATGTGTTGTGCATTCAATGGTAGGGGTTCTTGCTATGATTATTTTAATTTGCAAAGAGAAAGCAATGCTATTACTGGGATATGTTATATGCTTAACCGTACTTCCTGGAAGAGGCATACTGCTTGGAATTATGTTGCAGTCTACTTTAGGAATAGCTTCCGAGTTTAAGATGTTATCAAGGTTTTCAGAATTTTCCTAATGGTCAATTTACTCAAAGGGGTGTGGCTAATTCTAGTGAATGTGCTTTCACTCTGTTTAGGAAATAATTTAAGGCGTGAAACTGTGTGTAGAATCACAATCATTTTCATTTTGGTGTGCAGTGAAATACATGATTTCAGGAACCTTAACTTAATGATATTTGAATTATATTTAACAGGATGTTTTTCTGTCTTTGTTACTGCGTGGCTTTTGCTTTTTGAGAGTTACTATCCAATAGAACTTTCTTCCATGATGAAAATTTATACTAGCTACTTAGGCATATTGAGCACTTGAAATGTGGTTATTGTGACTGAGGGACTAAATTTTTACTTTTATTTCTTTTCAATTAATGTAAATGTAAATAGCTACATGAAGCTATTGACTACAACATGGGACTGCGCAATTACAGGCCGAATCTGATGTGCTTTTTAAGAGTGAAGATTTATCTGGCCACCTATATTTATATGTTTAGAACATTTTGTTACCTGAAATTAAAACATTCACTAATAGAAAGTGTTGGTTGAATACTGTCTCTTTTGGGAAGTGATGATGAACAGTGACTAGTGAATGGAAGGAGCAGCAGACTTTCTTGTGAGAGTCAGTTGTGTCCTATGAATGTGGCTGGGTGCTTCCACGTCTTCGCCTAATTCCCCCAGATATCCTTCTTAAACAGTAGGAGAAAGTGAGACTCAAACTAGTGCCCAAGGGAACCTGTCAGAGTGGGATTTGAACCTAGGTCTTCTGACACTAAATATTTTGAAGAAAAACAATGATTGACCTTAAGAGGAGAAGTTATTAGTATCCTAGTGTGCTTTTTTATCTGTTGGACTTTTCCCTGAGAAGGTGACTTCTCTTCTGGTTTAACATGTGGTTAATGATGCCGTATAGTAGACAGATCAGGGGTTTGGAGGTTGTTGAGACCAGTTCCATCCAGTAGAAAAATATGAGCCACATCTGCAATTTTACATTTTCCAGTGGCCATATTAAAAGTAGAAAACAGGTGAAATTAATGTCTCATTTAACTCAGTGTACCCCAAATGTTATAATTTCACCATGCAATCAGTATAAACTTTTCAGATGAGATATTTTACATTCCTTTTTTGGGGGTACTGAATTTTCAAAATCTGCTGTGTATTTTACACTTAGAGCACATCTCAATTCAGACCCTATTTTCATTGGATATATTTGACCTGTATTTAGCTTTCATAAAATTTACAGTTGAAAAAGCAGGTTTGCATATGTAGGTTGTTCCAAACATAAGTTTTCCATAATTGACTCGATTATCAGTTACTATTTAATTTTAATTAACTTAAACTTGAATTACTATTTAATTTTAATTAACTTAAACTTGAAAATTCAGTCAGAGTAGCCACATTTGAAGTTCTCAGAACCACATGTGGCTTGTGAAATGTCGCTACAGTATTGGAGAAGGCAGGTTAAGACTAACCTCTTGCTCCTTTTTCTCTGTAAAATATGTGTACTACCTCACAAAGTTACCGTGAAGGTCTGAGATCATGTATGTGAAAGTACTTGGTGTAGCATTTGAAGGGTATTAATTGTTGGCTATATAATTTTTGTCCAGTATATTCTATTCAGGTATCTATCTCTTAACCAGTGACAACATTTTATTTTGCAGATTTAAGACCTAGATTTTTATGGTTTATAAATATTTGGTACTCACCTGAGATTTGAATATTTACTATATATCAACAATCATGTTACACTCGGGACAAAGTGGTGAACAAAACTGACTGCAGCTTGCATTTGTGCTTGCATTGATTAGTTGGCAGAGACTGTCCACACATAATTGTAACCATGGATGTTATTGAATGTTTGATATTGTGCAGGATTTAATACAAATATTCATATGACACAAAATTGATTCTGCTCTGAAACTGCTCAAAAGGAAGAAAAAATTTTAATTAATCTTTTATAATAGCCCATGAGTGCTCACATGTGCCATTGGTACATCTTTAATTAGTGTTCCTTGGTCAGACTCCTGATAAACCACATCTGATAAATTACCCACCTGGAATGCCAGTCAGGCCTTTGTTAGTATTTATATGTCCTATAAGATGGTAGTGCAGAAGTGTATGTTCTCATATAGGAAGTGAGTTCATAGCTGATATTTTAGTCCTTCATATTAGAACAAGGCTGTTTTTTAAAATTTATTTACATAGCCATGCTAAAGCTATTTCATAAAATCAAATTCTAAGCCGTAGCAACGTTTCCAGTTCTTGGGTATCTTTTCTTTTTTTCCCCCACCGTTACTTGGCCAAGTGCCTGAGGCTAATGCTCTTAACTCAGGGGATGGCAGGAGGCTTGGATCTGAATGTATTATGCAAAACCCATCTGTCAGACTCAGATTTTTGTGTCTCTTCTTTTGTGTTATGAAAGACATAATTTAAGATAGTTTACATAATTTATGATAGTTTATCCTAGTTCAGAGGGAATAACTATTCATCAAATCCTAATTGTCCTGAAATCTACAAGATCAGAATAAA